TGTAGTTTTGTTGTAGAGGAGACTGTTATCCAACTTAACAAAAATAAAATAGTAAATTAATTAAAAATTTTTAAATTTACCCCGTTGCTTTAAATGCTCTTGTGGAGTCACAACATTATACATTATGCTAAATGAAATTCAAATTTAATAATGCGATATACGATGATATATGTATGCACGAATGTAAATAAACATTTTAATGAATAATTATATGTTTTATTGCCAAAATAAAGGCAGAAATTTGAAATTGATTTCAATTAATGTTGATTGTCAATTAATGTTTTTTACTATAATTGTCGTATTTTCTTTCAAACGATATTGCTGTGATTTCATGAAATTTGGAATCGAAAGACAAATGTTATACAAAAATCCTTACACCGCTTTGTCCAGTCAATTGTTAAAAAAGCTTCTTTTCCATAATTCAAATTCCTTCGTTCGATAAGATTAGCTTAACATCAACTTTAGCGAGCTCACGCGATATTTCCTCATTTACAGTTTCATTCGCACCAGTTTTACGCAAACAATTCACCGCCTACCAAATAAATCTCCGTAGCGCATCCGTTGCAAAAATTCATCCTTAAAACAAAAATTAAAAATTTAGCTGTCGAAGAATTGTTGCCGTTGCGCAAAGTGAGTAATGAATTTGTAATAGTGAGCCTTTAAAGCTCTCGACAGTAGTCGCCAGATGGCGTAATGATGTACAGATAAGACAGGCGCGTGTTTAAATGTGTTGTTATTGTAACACTAACCTCCAAGATTTACCGAAACCGGAGAAAATAGTTGAGTTAAATGATTATGTTGGAAAATTGTTTTAGGTAGTTTTGAAGTTAGTGTGCTACTTAAGAATGTCTGGAACGATAAGGCAGTTGGAAGACCGTCAGTTACCCAATGAAGTAACTTTAATGCATTGGTCTCCAAATATGGATCTTCTAGCAATAGCTAATTCTAAAGGTTTAGTATTGTACATCAAGACTCGAAATGTAATAGATACTTTTATTTCACAATGACATGATAATTTTAGGAGAGCTAGCACTGCATAGATTGACATGGCAACGCGTTTGGCTTTTGAATCCATTTGAAGAGGGAGATATAATAACAAACATTGCATGGAGACCGGACGGTAAACTCCTTGCGATCACCTACGCAAACTCCAAATCATTGTATTTAGTTGACATTGAAAATAAAAATGTTGTACATAAGTCTCAGTTGAAGTCCGATGAAGGCTGCACGTATATGGCTTGGTTATCCCTTACTCCACCTGTTTGTAGCAATGCCAATGAAAAAGTTTGCTCGTCTTGTACTGGCGATTATTTGCCACCGTTACCTAATTTAAATAGAAGTTTTGGCCAAGAACCCGAGAGGAAGGAATTTTTCTCACAAACCCTAGATATGCTATTCGTAAGTGTGTAAAGTAACATGAAAATTTAAAAAGAAACGACAATAATAATATGTGTTTTAGCTTGGTCAAGAAAATGGCAATATCATGATGTACATATTTGGAATGTTTTATTGCGGTATGATTACGATCGGTAATGGACCTGTGTTGGAAATCAGCGGTGGTGGGGGTAAAGCTTTGTGGGCCAGTTGGAAGAGCAGCGATTCTATAGTTGTTGTACGACTGTCGTGTTCGTTGCTTCAAAATAGCGAGGCATTTTTAAATGTAGATCTCTTGATTATAATATTGTATTAGAAAAATTAATTTATTAATTCAAAAATATAACTTACCGATGTAAAGGTGGCCCAAATCCAAGCTCACGTGGAGTTCTTAATGGATTACTTATCGCGGACGTTAATGGCCATTTCAGAAGCGTGGGAAACTATCCTTTTAGAAATGGATGAAAAATTAGCTAAATATGCCGCTGATAAGCCACCGGGTAGTGTAGCTGCAGACTTTTTGGAGCTTTTGATGGTCGGAGTTCCAACACCCGATTTAGTTAATTTTTTACTGCGAGATCTTACGGAAAAAGGATTAAAGAAATTAGGACATAGCATTGATATGTGTTATAGTAATATTCAAGTAATATTTTAAGTACTTAGTGGCATATCGCTTAATAAGTGTTTTTCTCAAATATGAAATAATTTTTCAGAAATTGGTGTTAAAACATTTGAGTAGCGTAGGAATGGCTTTGATATATCATTTAGCCGAAATGCGTGGGATGGTTCGCTTTGGAGGTGCTTACGAAGCATTAGGACTCAGAGACGAGGCTCCCATAACCAATGCTCTCAGTGCAGCGCAATCTTTATTAGAGATTCAGCAGGTCATCGATCACAATATGCGTGATTATAAAGCTTTTATAAGGTATGAAGTAATAAATTCATTATTAGTATGGATATACGCTTGGATAAATACTTTTAATCCATTGCTAGGTGGCTTTATACCATTATACTAAGACTGAATGATGAAAGAGTTCCATCCGAGATGAGTAGAGTGAGTCAGCAAGATTTAACTTACATTGCGGAATTTCTACGTGGATTTGATAAAATTGAGTTGAATGCCAGTAAACGTAAGGGGGTTAATTTAGAAAAATTAGGGCAATATTTGAGGCAAGATCCCTTACAAACCTGCTTCAGTCCCGAAGGAAGCGAATGGGCTTCGATGCTTGTCGAGAACAGATGCTTACAAAATCATCCTCTCATTATAAAACAAGACTTCGAAGGCTCTTTATTGCAGGCACATTTGACTCTAATCGAGACTGTTAATCAAGTGTTTGTTTGTGCCTATCAAGATCTGACGCAACATTTCAAACAAAAAGTTATGCCCTTGTTATCTGTAACGAGTACTTTATGTTCTCAAATTGTAACAACGGATGGAAATTTAATGATTGCAGTACCAAATACCGATCACAAAATACTTCAATTGTTTAAAATTAATTTTACATCAATGAGTGACGATTTAAATTCTAAAACGATTAAAATTGATATAGGTAACAAACAAGGTAATGATACCGAATTTTTAATATTTCATTCTAATTCGCAAAGCATTGTTAGTGCTATCTTCTTTTTTTTTCTTTTTTTTTTCTTTTGCAACAGCTCCTTCCACTCCCTCAAAAAAATCCGAAGATCAAAGAGTATCCGACCTACAATTTTATTCGCAAGAGTTTCTAAGTTTATTAATTCTAAATCAAGAAAATAACACTTCATGTTTAATTCAACTACCTATGAATCATGCTAGATTTAACGATGAGCAAAATATAAAACCAGATTTTATAATAAATTTAAATGATGTGACAGATCCAAATTTGTCCAAACCATTTCAGGATATATCACCGAGACAACTGACTGTTAGTGGTCCACGAAAAGTAGCTGCAATTTTAAGTGAAAATAAACGAAAAATTCGATTACTCGAAACGGAAGTCGATCCTGAAGAGGATGACGATGATGATGACGAACAAGTTGGAGATGATAGCATGATGGACATTACTCCAGGTAGTACTGCAAGCACTTCTCGGGCATAATTAAATATAAGTTAAAACTTATATTTATTGTAAATAATTATTATTAATACTATTTGTTGTTAAATTGTTTAAATCTTTTACGTATAAATTAAAATAAATTCAATAAAATTTCTTATTTAACTTTATTTACATTAGTTATGTATTTCATCGTTAATATTTTATGAACGTTAACAAGTAATTACATATTATTCAATAGAAGAAATTTAAGTATAATTTTAGTTTTTCGCTTTTATAATACAAAAGTATGAAACGTATATATTTACATATATATTAATTTGAAAATAATGAAGTACAAAATTATTTGTTCAATTTATTGAATTACATTCAAAGGAAAGCATAAAAAATAATTAGGCTACAAAATATCACTAATACTTCTTTTTCACGTTATTACATCGAACGAATGTGGAAAGAGTTTAAACATTAAAATTATATAGTTTGTTCCTTTTGCATTTGATGAAATACTTTAGGAAAATCAACGTCAAAACCCACATTGTCAGAACCATCGAATTGAGATGTTATGGTGCTTGGATTTGCCGATATAGAATATAGATTTTCTATACATTTTTCTGGAGAATTTTCTCGTGATTCTTCCAATACATCTACATCAAATGTATATAAAATATTAAAAAAAATGTAAATAATATAAATTAAATTTGCCTTTATAAAAATGATTTTACCAAGAAAACTTTGTTGAGCTCTTTTTTGCTTTAACATAATGATAAGAAGTATTATTGCAATGCCTACTACTATTACCATAATTATAGTCATTCCTCTTAGTAAATTTGTCTAAAATGAAATTTCTTTGATCATTTACTCTATGAATCTTACTAACCATTAAATTTATTTAAATAATATTTGTTTAAATTTTTAAAAATTGTCTATAGGATACCTCAAATGAATTTTCTACAAGTACTTGTATGTCTTTTTTAACAATCAATTTTACAACATTAATATTAATAGCTGATTTATCTTTAATTCCTCTTGAAATACATTTATAAAAACCTGATTCAGCCATTGATACCTTCTATGTACAATATTAAATGACATATAATTGTATATAACAAACGTCATAAATAAAAATAATATTTAAGATTAATGATCTATAAAATTAAGAAAGTACCCTTATATATAATTTTCCTGTAAGTACTTCATAGTTATATTTGTTCTCATCGAGAGGATTTTCAGGACCAATGGTATGACTGTCATCTTTTAATTTCCAAAACATAAACATATGATAATCATCGCTACTGAGACATGGAAGCTCTGCTAAATGCCCAGTGACAACTTCCATTACTGTAATAGAAGCTTCAGCAATCCCTTGATTTGCTACATTCAGGTACAAACATAGTATATACAAATGAAGCATCTGGAATAAAGATATTCAAATTATTAATATAATAACATAATTTTTATGACATATAAAAATTTGTCCTTAATCAACGTATTTCATGCAATTTTTATTTAAAAATTAAATTACAAATAACAAATGATAAAAAAAAGAGGCATCTATTTAATGTGGTAATTACTTCTTAAATACGTAACTAAGATACTCTGATATATTAAATATTATTATTATTGATAAATTTTTCATTAAATTTGTATTTATCATGAAGTTTATTCATTATGTACGGTCTTCTAACATGATAATAATCCATAATAAGAAGATATAATTATAAAGAAATTCCATAATATCCTCTCAAATTACTCAATAAATGACTAATAACACAAGCTTCCACGAAGAGCAACTTATTTATATCAATGTCCTGCTAATTCTTGGTTCAACAAGATTATTTATAGTAAGTTAAATTCTCTAACATTTAATCCAACTACATCAGTATGACTTTATTGGATTATCAATAATATCAATATCAATAATTTCTTTATAAAGACGGTTGTTATAGATTCCAATTTATCAATTTACTCAATTTATTTACTTGTTATCTTAAATTGATGGAATAGATATATTATTTTCATATCCATATCAAAGTAATAGTAATGCAATAAATAATACTTATTCTACCACATTTTAAAATTCATTCAAAAGATTAATGTAATATTAACATATTTAATTAATATTTTGAATTTGTGTTATAGGAATATATATATATATATATAGATATTGTACTAATCATACCATGTATAAATGTTAGGCATGCATTTGTTTGATTAATATCTAGAATTTTGTATAAGATGAACAAAAACATCTGCTGCAAGTGCTGTAAACAACACCCAAAACGGTGCTAAGACTGCTTTAGCTGGTAAAACCCACTGTAATGCTTCTAATTTTAAACATACAAGGATCTGAGCACTTAGCTTCATAAGTACCGCAATCATATACCATACCTAGCAAACAAAAATATAAAATTAAATATAATTTTATCATTGTTATGCCATTTATCAATAGGGTATTTAAATGCGGTAAATTATCAATAACATAATTAGATAAAAGACTTATCGTACAAATAATTTACCATTCGTCTAAGACTAATGAGGCGATCGTGGGCATTTTTACAAAATAATATCATATTAAATGCAATGTATATTAACAAAATATTATCATACAACCACATTGGAATAAATACTATAAACCAGTTCCATTGTATTCTTTGATCAAGTCTCAGTACCAATAAAATAAGAAAAATTAATAAATTAAACCATGTAAACAAAGCTCGATGCAAAACAGCCATTTAAAACTTTCACCAAAATTATTTCTATCAATTTAATAATGACAATTATACGATTATCCGTATTTTAAATTCTCTACAAACATAACCTTTTATTAATGATAGAGTCAATCAACTTAGAGAATACATTTTTAAAAACAATTCTATAGTGTTTTAACAACGGTTATGGAGTGTGATTTATTTTCTAATTTTTCTCAATTAGTCAATATGAAAACATTTATGGTAAAAGTTTTTAAAGAAAATTTTCATTACAAAGTATCATTTACGTTTCAAATGCTGCAATTACAATTTCTACATATAGATATATACAATTTCATTTTAATAACTTTGTATTAAAAATGTTAATAATATTATTTTAATTAATTATCGTTGAAAATATTGCTTCATTCCATTCACTGTATTTTATTTTAATTTTTTATTTTTGAATATTTGAATGACTAAATATCTCGTATTAATAATTTTGATTTCAATATACTTAATATTCCACGGACAAATCAATATGTAATCAGTCACATTAATGTTATTTTATGCATTATGGCTGTAAAAAAAAAAAAAAAAAAAAAAAAAAAAAAAAAAAAAAGTCACACAAGTAACTAGTTTAAGCGAACGTCGTATTAAAATTCTCTAAATAAATTATAAATAATTTTATTCTTTCATCTTAAATTTCATGTATTACATACTTTCTTACTACATTAGATATTAGTCTGAGCATACTATCGTAACTGTCACTTTTTTTTTTGTCGGAAAGAGCAGGACAATAAAATCGATGGATTCAAAAATAAAGAAAAATGACATACTTTTTTTAAACGACAAAGCCGTTGATATTGTGGAAGTCGATATTTCAAGTATTTTAATAAATAACACTTTGCTCGGAAATATATTCGTAGCTATAATATATAAATATTATATAAAACGCATATTAATATTAAATGAATATATAAAAATAAAATAAGTCGCATATATTAATAGATATAAGTAAGTCTTAATTGCATTTTTAAGCTAATGCATTTTTGCAAATACATTTTTCGAAATGTTTGATTGTATTATTAAAATTTTGTTTTCCATTTCACTTGAGTTCAAGAACGTTTAAAATCCGATGTCAAATTAAACTAAAATAAGAGAAAATGTTCATTTATCATTAAAGATTTAGAATAGATGCAATGTAGAAAATACTCCGTTTGACTTACATTTACATAATGTAATTTCTAGTACTCTTCAAGTATCTTTATTATGATTAGTTGTATTATTATTATTGTTATTATTATTATTATTATTATTATTATTATTAATAATAAAAAATTTACGAAACTTTTAGTACGCAGATTTGCTTGAGATGGAAACGATAATGAAACAATAGAGTTGATTTTTTGTTATGGGAGGTGCTAGCATAGTAGGTACGTAGCCTTTTAAAAAAAAAAAATAATTTTATGTTTTTTTTTTTTATTTATTTGGATTTTTGTTTATTGACATATCGATGTAAATGAGAAGCACTCAAGCTGTTACAAATTTGATTAAAATCTTTTTCAATTAAATATAATTGTATTTGGTATTACGTCCCGAAGCCCTACTTAATTAACTTCACCAAGCAATATTTGACTTCGAAGAATTGTAGTGGTTAATCAATTATCAGTTTCTAAATCATTATAAATCTCACCGCCAAAACGTTTGGTACTTACCTTTCTCTTATAATAAAAACAAAATTAATTTTAGAAAAACGTGAAATTTGTACGTATAATACTTATATCATGCTTTAGCTGATGTAAGAATAGGCTGAAGGAAATCTGATTTGTCGTTAATGCAGCCGTATATCGAGTACCTTATTGACTTCACATTATTTAACTTCAGGCTTGTAATAGCTTTTTTTAGTTGAAAATGGCCGGAACTCATATTCCTTTGTCGTATGTAAACGTGTATGTAATCTTGGGAATTTGCACCAGGTTTCGAGGAAAATGCCGAGAGTAGCTATTTACCTAAGTAGGAAATGTCGATACGACTTAGCCGTATTTACAAGCCCGACTGAGATCTTCCACTGAGATCAGCCTTCAACGATAATTTCGTAATTAAGCAATAATGTAATAAGGTGAAATTTATTTACATAACATATCGAATGTCATGTATTGTTGACAGTTCCTGCGTGACAATGAATAGGACTGCCGATTGCTTGCTTACGCGAATAACGAGTGTTTTATGTTAATATTTTCTTGTAAGGGCAAAAGTTTATTGTTAAAAAATCATTTTGAACATTTTCTTCCTCTTTTAATTCAATTCTAAAACGCATTAGTTGCATTGTTTCTGTTTTTCTTTTTCCGCTATTTAAGCCATCTTACAGTTTTATAATGGCTTGTGACAAGTGAAACCATAATTTTACGTCCACTTGTCGAAATCATTATTTATAGTTTGCATTCTAATAAGTTTTATTGACAAAAAGAAAGCAAAAAGTATCCAAGAACCATTAACTAAATCAAGTTGTAAATGCATTCGCAAACAAAACAGGTTAGATGTCAAATACACTTGTTTCTATAAATCTGTAAAATTCGAGCAGTAATTTTTGTATTAATTGATATGCAAATATTATTGTTTAACTTTAAATGGCGAGGGCGTTTAAAAGAAATTTACAAAGGAAGAAGAAAAATAAACAATTATAATTAAGTATAATGCGCGCGCGCTTGAGTGTGCGTGCGTAATGGTAGGTATGGCTATTAAAAATAAATGCTTATCTTTACGATTAAGTGGATTTATTCGTAAAATGTGTTTTTATTAGAAATTACCTTGATAAATAATAAACGTATTATAATATAATAATATTACATAATAATTTGCACCTTATCAAGAATAATGAATACATAATGAATGTAAATACAATACTGTTTTATTTATTAAATTTATATATTTTTAAAAAATATAAAAACTAATGTATATTTTTGATTTGGCAGATTTAGATGAAATAAATAAATATTATTATTTTCATAAGGAACGCTTTAATGGATTGCATTTATATTGTCTATTCATTGCGTGACGCTTGTAACACTGGAAAGCTTCTGTAAATTCTATGGCGTTCGATGCAACAAAATTAATAAAAGCATAAGGTTTTATTTCTTCTCGTGCCACCGGTGTTCTGCACATCGACTAAAAAGACATTTAACATTCATGTGAAATTTTTTTGTTATCGTGAATATTTTTCAAAGCTCGTGCATATTTAATAATTCTTACTTCGGCGAACGAGAGAAAAAATACCCGATAATCCGTAATGGCTCCAAATTTCTGAAAATGTATGGGATAAGAATCTTTAGTAGGCCATGCCTCGTATGCCGTGCGAAGTCCAAGTAAATACGAAGTGGCTTTTAAAAGATACTCGTCGGCCTAAAAATTTTTTAATTATTCAAACGTAGTATTTATATTTTAATTTTTCGATTATAGATAATTAATTATACCCTTCGTTTATCCAAGTCGCTTGGCATCTGGTGTAAAACACATTTTGGTGCATACCGAGCATACGTAATTCTTCCTGAAAAAAAAAATATATATATATATATATATATATACATTTTACGTATAAATCATAAAAAAACTATAGATTAATGTAAATTTTTATACTTAGCCATTCCAAATATATTTTCGATGCGATATTTGTTCCAGCTGCTCCATAATTAATTGGACTGTTAAATATGAAAAATATATAATTATTATTCGATATGTATATATGCGTGTATGCTTTTATATAAATAAAAATTTACTCGAATAATTGCGCACTGAGAAACTTATATGTATTTTCACTGAAAACTCGGGGTGGAAAAACTGTAAAAGAAGATTTTTATATTATATATACATCATAAAATATTTTTATTGTACAAAATCATAAAAACATAAAGTATTATTTACTTATTTGTTTGAAGTCTCTCGAAAATTCAATACTCTCTTGAGTAAATGATTTTAAAAATGTTTTCGGACTGAAAATATGAAAATTGGAATTATTGTACACTATACTATATTTTGTTAAAAAAAATCTTATGAATCTCCTGCCCCCCCCCCTCCCCCTCAATATGCTTATTAATACATTTGACTATATTTAATAATAAATTTAATTTAATTTAAAGACCCCTGTCGTTATTTAAATTTTATTAAAAAAAAAAAAAAGTTGGAATAATCAATCACTGAATAACTTTTAACATAGAAATTAAAAATGCCAATCGTATAACTAAATTGAGAGTAAACCATATGAAAAAGTGCTTAGTGCAATTTAAAATAATGTCCATACAACAATTATCTCTTCAACTTTTAATTGTTCCTACTATAAGAAATCATATATATTCTTGGATCACTGCTTGTACTTACTCAAATATAGGCACACTGTAATCATAAAACGATCTCAGTTTATTCTTTAATAAAATCTCGACAAATTTAATTTGATTTGCATAATATAGTTCACTAATTGGAAACTGTAAAATCGAAGTTAGAAAAAATTAATAAACATCCTCTCGTAATAATAGAAAGGAAAAGATTAACTAATTGCGTTTTTCTTACATGTCTATCATAAAATTTCGATACAATTGTTTCATTTGCTAACCAATCAGGATAACCAATTATTACATCAGCATTATTCAATTGCCTTAAAAATTTTTTAGTTACTTCATACGTTATTTCAAGATTATATTCATCGCTTCTTAATTTTCGTTCTATAATATCTTTAACCGCGGTAAATATTCCATCAATCTAAAATAAATTTATGTAGATTAGTATGTACATTATTTTAAGAATTAAATAAATTTGCTTACTATTTCTTTATTGTCTTTCGGAAAATATCTTTGCATATAAACATGAGCAGCACCAACGAGTAAACCCGGTGTGCAAATTAATCTAAACAATGTTAACTAATTAAAATGTTTATATTAAATATTGTACATTTGACAATTATCACATTTAAATCTATATTCTATTATATATATTATTTTAAGATTTTTAATTAAATACATTAATTTTTATATCGATTGCCTTCTTGATGTAATTAACTTTTATATTTTATTAATTTATTTTCCAAACATACTACTTACTTAGACTTTTTTTAATTCTTATATTTACATATTTATTTCTCTTACCGATAAATTTTTTTAATTAAAAATTTGTATAATTGTGTATAAATGTCAATTTTTTATGTTTGTTTTATTAACCCTCGATATATATATATATATATATATATTTTTTTTTTTTTTATATACATATATACAAATAAAAAAATATATATATATAATAATTATATTAATACACATATGATATTTATATCATAATCTTCTTTCCTTTATATGTTATGCCCAACAGGCACAATGTACATAAACGCGCGCGCACAATATAATTTTAACCAATAATTTTTTTATGAATAAATTTTCTGTAATTCATTATAATATTCATTATAATTAATTACAATACTAACCCTTTTACGGATGGTATTATGGAATATTTTTCCTGATATTCTTTTTCCACGAAACCAATTGTCTTTGAAACAAATCTTAAATGTATATAGTCCACTAAACAAGAAGAAAAATATATATATATATATATATATATATATATATATATATATATATACGTGTGTAATGTATAATTGCATTATATGTATATGTAAATATAAGTATTCGATACCAATCGTATTGAAATTGTGTGTTGAGCGCAGAGTTTCCGCTAAGTGAAAGAAATAGCTTTCGTCTTTTATAAGAATTGACTCATATTCATTGATTTCGATGTGCATTTTAGCAAAAAATTCCTTTAGAAGATTTAGCCAGTCAATCTATAAGGATTACTTTATTATATTTTTAATAAAATAATTTAAGTAATTTTATACAATAGACAATAATTCATCTTAGAATTATCGGTAAGGTCAATTTAATTAAATTATATTAATACCTTAGAAAGCGAATCATAAGCTAATTCGTTATATTTTTTTTGCCATTCCAAAAGAAGTCTTGGCTCAGGCGGCTTTTCACTTTTGCTAGAATCATATTTTTCATAGGGTACAATCTAAAATATGAAAAACATATATCCAATATAGCCAATGTCGATTCACGTCGATTATATCAATTTTGCTTTTTAATCACAAGGAATGAAAGAAATCATTCGATGGTTTACCTTATTCAATTCGTCAATGAAATGCTTCAATTGTAAATATTTATTGTCGTGGTTATGATTATTATTATAATTATAGCCAGAATGCACGTCTCTGTAGGCAGTCCGCTCGGGCATATTCATATATTTTGATGTTAATAAATCGTTCATATCTAAGACATTATCGGACGTTGGACTTATCTGAATTACACATATTATATAAGAAAATATATTGTTTATTTATAATATTATAAATATGACAATATGGAAACATGCCTGTATATAACGTTTAGGTTCTCCAGTGTATAAGTGATCACGTTGGATAATGTCGATGTCAAAGAAAGCAAATCCAAATCCTCCTAAAGCGTATTTCAGGTCGGTACGTGACCAAGGCTCGTTATCATTCGGATCATAATTATAATTTTGATTAAGCCTATTAGCTTTGTATTTGACTAGTAATTTTTCATAATGTACCTTCTCCTGATGACTGTGCGTCCCTAGGTTGTATTAAACAAAAATTCCAAAAATATAATTAATAATTAAGTGTCGGTATTTGTGGTAGATGAAATTTAACTTTTACCTTTCTGGCATCTTTCGTATATTTCTCTTTCAACTTTTAATGCATCGATATTACTATCGGATACACTGAGGAAAGGCTCTCCCAATATTTCTGTAATTATTTCAAATATTTATGCTAAATTTATATATAAACTCGAAAAACAAAATGTCTAGAAAAATCAAACAAATTAGAAACAATTGTTTAATATATCTAAAATATCATATCGATTTATTCATTAAATTCAATGCCCGTTTTAATCTTTAATTTATTCAATTCGATGTTGTATTTTAAAAATAATATATGTATTTCAAAATTTCAACAGAATTGATATTTCGCTCACTTTTCAAATCGGCTAAGTCATTATTTTCCGAATTGTATAATAATATATCACTCAAATCAATTCCCAAAGTTGTGTGTCGTGTAAAATTTTTTCCACAAGCGTATCTGAAAAAATCATCGCACGGCTCGGCTTTTGAGTCAATATTACTTTTGAAAATTTCATCTAAAAACAATAATTTCTTATAATATATGTAGTTAATCAATCATTACAGTCTACGTGTAAGTTAATTAATAATTTATTTACCAATTGGTGTACATTGAGATCTATCGCACTCATCAAAATCAGGCTGAACAACATAATTTGCAGTTGCTTTAAAAATAGGGACGATGCATATCCTAAAAATACGATTTTCATAATGAAAAAAAATTTATCACATATGTAAAACAGTATGTTTAATACTAAAATTTGGCTTCAGTCCAATTACTAATTACTCAAAGCAGCGTTCTACACATAGAATTAAGTTTCACGTCTCATTACAATTCTTATTGAAATGAAAAAACCAGGTCTATAATCTATAGGATGTATATATCTATAACCAGGTCTATACCTTTTTCTACATCGATTATTAACAATACGAATACTTAAAATAATAATAATTATATTTAATAGTATTTTTATGTTTAAATCAATATAAATTTAATAATTAAACATTTTGCGGTTTTATAAATACGATTAAATATTTAAAAATAAAATTGGCTTGGATTATATGGCTAGATACTATTATATAGTAAAATATTTCAACATAACATAATACTATCATACGTAGTCGATTTTAATAATATTAAAAAAAAAATAAAATAAAATTTTACCATATGAAAAAGAAGTATTTGACATATCGTAAAATATTTGCCAAATTGGCAAAAATGCTTAAATAATACTATAAATGTATCTAGATTATAAGTATATACGTATATAAATTCAACAACAACGTTTACATTGTCAATTGCATTGAACAAATGTCCCGAATACCTATACTAACATAATATATATATATATATATATATATATAGGCGCATGCAAACACGCACATATGCACGCACACGCGCACGATAGTCGCCAAGAATACGTAACTAAAACGCACGTTGTTATAATACATTAGATTAATTAAGATATAACTTTAATCCGATGCATTAATTATTATGATGAAGATATAATTGAAGGTCACGACTCATTTACATCATTTACCGTTACATTTATTAATTAATAGAACAAAGTAATGCAGTAGTACTACGTACCACAATAGTTGACGTAACATCATTAGATTCATGTTGCTCGACGAAGAAGACTACACTACTGCCATTACATACGGTCGATCTCTCTTATTTTAGGAAATGTTTATTATTTATCGTCGCCTTAAAACTTAATTGGCCGGAATTTGATAAATTTGTAATATGGAATGGAAGTTGTGTCAAGGACAGGATGGGATTCATATCACCCATTTGATAAATATTTGTGTATAAAAACATTACATAGTTCTTGGTTTTTTTTTTTTTTTTTTTTTTTTTTTTTTTTTTAATTGTCTAGTTATTAGTATAAGTAGCTATCTACATCAATAATTGATCGCGTCCGGCTATTGATCAGCATCCAATATGTTAAAAGTAAGATGTAGCAGCTCGAGAAATGGAGCGTAAAGAAACCATGGGGAGTTGGTATGTTATTTCCAGGCAATGTTAATCCAAATAAAATAAGACAAACTCGAAGTGAAATTAATTATCCGACAATTATTAATAAATCATTCGAGTGGATATAAATTTGAAGGTTTTAACATGTATATCAACTGCATTTTGAAATAATAATTCTTTTTACTTTTTTTTTTTTACAAATACTAGTTCGAATGTTATTACAACATTGATTTCAATACGTTTCATTCAGTGATAGAAATAAGCTTAGCTCATTTCAAATTAATATTTATTTATTGTTATTTTTATGTTGTTATAATTCACAGAGCCTCTATGACTTTAAGCATCGATCGGATAGATAAATTTTATATCTATTTTTAAAACGCTTTTTTTCTTTTTTATTTATTTTTTTTTTCCATGAGTTCGTTGTTAATAATAATTGTGAATAAGAAAAAGCGTTGAAAATATGAAGTAATTGAAACGAACTACACGGATATATCGCTTATGCAATAACTTGTAGTGTTATTTCTGTATGTTTGTATAGAATAGAAACGAGTAAAAACCATAAATTTTATTTATCATATCACAATCTCCTCTGTTCCAAAATTTATCACCTTACAATCGTATTAAATAATCGTAATAATAGCAATTGATACTTGATTGACAATTATTAAAAATAAATTGTTGTATAATTAGCTTTAGAAATCGTCTACAATACATAATTTTCAGGTTTATATTTCATTCGTTTAAGGAAATTTTCATTTTAATTTTCATATCAAGCTATTTCTGTTTTTGATCATTTTAGGCTATTAGAGCATTGATTTACGTGCTGTAGATTAAAAAAAAAAAAATAATAATAATAAAAATATAAATAAACACACACACACACACACACACACACACACACACACACACACACACACGCATAGCATCGAAATATCAGTAATATGAAACTCAAAAAGTTTAATATTGCAATGTGACGGTAACATTGTTTTACTAACGATCGTCATTGCAAATGATTAAGGAACAAACAATATTAACAAATTCTTAAGGCAAGTAGATAATCACTACAAATACATTATTACTGCAAGTCTTGCAATATTTTTATACGAATAATAATAAAAAAAAAAAAATGCAACTAATCGTTCGACAATCCATAGCCCGTTATATATTTTTCACATTTACAATAAATAAGTTTTCCGTTTCGTAGCAAGACAATTGCAGAATTAAGAATGTAATATTAAATTTATTAAAATCATGCAATAAGCCGGATACATAGACATCGGACATTGGCTATCCCACTTCACCAACGTACGCTTCATTTATAGCAGCCTCCTTATCTTTTTAAGTTTTGAAATTTATTACTTATGTCATATATATATATATATATATATATATATATATGTCATATTTTTCTCTCTACATCGCCGTCTATAGTATAATTATCGTTGGCGCCCAGGTCACCGTCCGTCCACTCTATACGCATTATATAATATATGTGTATGTCAAAGATATATATATATATATATATATATATATATATCGTAATATCGAAAAGGATCGACAAGTCCTCCTCGTCAGTCCATTACGGAGAAGCACAGCTCTCGCGTAGATTCGTCGCATCCGAGGATCAAGCATAACGATATCGGGGAATAAAAAGGACTGGAGAAAAAAAAAGGGTGTGGATGCACGTAAGCCTTAATAACATTAAGGTCAGGGTGAAGAATGGTCGAAGGTGAGGAGGGACGAGAATCCACGAGCACGAATCAAACGCTAACCGGTTATCCGGAGGTAAATGCTTCAATCTATCGACGTGTCACGTCTATCGCTTACATATACTTTCCTCCCCCCTCCCCAAATCCCCCGGCCCCTTTCTCTCTCACTTTCTCTGCAGTAGTCTACCGCTGGCTGCTGCAATTGGCATGCCCGAGTCATCTCTCCTTTATTCCCGGACTATAAATAATGCAGGCAAATTTATGAGGAAGAGAACGCGCGACTTCTCGCGTTCAAGTTGAATGCTTAGATATTTTCTATTTTAAAGGAAAAGCGGAATGCCCGTTTTCTCGCATGTTCGCCGACTTCATCGATAGCTTCTCTTTCCCCCGTTGCTTCTCATTTTTACGACTTTTAAGGCCTTTTTGACATTAGACCTTGAAGTTTGGAAGCGATATGGTCTTGTACTTAAGTTACGAGCTTACGTAATTCATGTTCTATATCTATTACGTCAAGTCCTATTAATCTTATTCATGGAGCTTGTGATATGCTTTTTGATCGCGACATTGGAAATTCTTCGGAAATAATTGTAGTTGCATTACAAAACTTTATATCGCGACGATTGCTCGCCAAGTAATTCTTATCGTTGCAATTGCTTGTCTAATTACGCAACTTGGCAATTGCTCCGCTAAGCACAAAGTCAGATGAATAAACAGCGGCTAAATAATTCCAACGAATCATTGGATTCGCTGCTAATAAATCGGTGAGCTAGAATTCGAAACTAAAAAATAGAAGGTTATGTTCTTGGATAGATAGATAGATGGATGGATGGATGGATGGATGGATGGATGGATGGATGGATGGATGGATGGATGGATGGATGGATGGATGGATGGATGGATGGATGGATGGATGGATGGATGGATGGATGGATGGATGGATGGATGGATGGATGGATGGATGGATGGATGGATGGATGGATGGATGGATGGATGGATGGATGGATGGATGGATGGATGGATGGATGGATGGATGGATGGATGGATGGATGGATGGATGGATGGATGGATGGATGGATGGATGGATGGATGGATGGATGGATGGATGGATGGATGGATGGATGGATGGATGGATGGATGGATGGATGGATGGATGGATGGATGGATGGATGGATGGATGGATGGATGGATGGATGGATGGATGGATGGATGGATGGATGGATGGATGGATGGATGGATGGATGGATGGATGGATGGATGGATGGATGGATGGATGGATGGATGGATGGATGGATGGATGGATGGATGGATGGATGGATGGATGGATGGATGGATGGATGGATGGATGGATAGATTAGGCGTTAACTTCATCGAGGAAAAAAATTAAGCGCCACGATAATCACTTCGCATACGTACGAAGTTAAAATACGACAAATTTTGTAATAGCCTGCCAATTGTGTCGAATTAATGCAAATCGATCGGCTAATTTAAATGACACTTGGCATGATTAACAAGTGAATTTCTTTGATAACAATGCAATCGGATTCGCACCTCCCCGGCATATCAAATACACGGTGGCACAGACGCATTAATCGCCGAGAAGAGACGCGCGGATGTGGAGGGTGGGAGGGAGGAAGAGAGAGAGAGAGAGAGAGAGAGAGCCCGGAAATACACAAAAGTTACATTCGCCCTGTGCATCGGTGCATCGAACGATTCAGCTCAACCTCGATCCTCTTTTGCAACACGGAGCATTACGAGTCATTACAATCCACAGCTTCCAACAACACCCTTTCCTCCTCGACTCCCCGGCAACTCTTATGGCGATACTCACGTGTGCCTCCTTTCGCATAACCTTCTTACGCACCGCGCACCCACACAACTTTCACGCTCCCTATAAACTTAGGTACGCATGTACGTAACATTTTCGCGCCCGTTTAAACGTTCTCTGAATTTCGTCACGTTCGTGTTTCATTGCAGCAGGCGAGCGCGAATTGCCGTATCCGTCCTACCACGTGCTTAAAACTCCTATAAGCCGTAAAATTCCCGGGTTAGTAACGGTTTCCTTCGTTCGTCGAATTATTAGTAATCCGATGTCAAGTGCTCAACTGGTAATCCCTTCATTTGTTTTTCTTGTTCTTTTGTTCTTATTGCTTTTGTTTTTAGTCGTAAGATTCGTAAAATTAGATATGAACTCGAGCTATCGTTGGGAGGAATATTTCCTTCGATCTCGTATTACATAAATTTCTTTTAGGCCGTATGAATTCATAAGTATTAACCTCTATGCCTATTATAGAATTTTTAATTCTCATTTCCACGGTTTTCCCGCACTTTAAATTGATTTTACAATTTAGGGGATTTTTGTGTTTTGTTTTAGAACGGCTTGAACATTATGACGTAATTCGGCAATTCGAATCTTATATTTTAAGAATCAATGGGTTTGTCCGGCAAATGAAATGAGGTTCTTGCTCTCATAATCAAGAATATAATTATACATTTTAACAATTTCTTGTTTACATGCGCGGTGACACGTACGACGATATACATTGTAAAACAAACAAAAAAATAAATAAAAAAAAAAAAAAAACGAAAAGAAAAGGAAAAAAGGAAGAGAAATTTTGTAGTGTAGTTTAGGAGGGAATTTAAATTAATCCTTTTGCTAGACATTTAAAGTTTTAAAATTTAAAATTCATTTTTATCATTTTCAGATTCTGCCTGTATTGGCTACAATTGGAACGCTAATAACAGTTGGTATAGCAGTAAAGTTATATCTATCCTTTAAAGATGTAAAGAAAAAGAAAGTACTACTTGTTGAACCTACGCTAAAATATAGTTTGCCACTAATTGAAAAACAGATTGTAAATCATGATACTAGATTGTTTAAATTTGGCTTGCCAAGCGGTGAACATGTGCTTGGTCTTCCAATTGGGCAGCATGTACATCTAACGGCAAATGTGAATGGAGAAGTTGTTATACGTGCCTATACTCCGGTTACCAGTGACGACGACCATGGTCACGTTGACCTTATTATTAAAGTAAGAAAATGCTAATTATATTAACATTGTTGTCTTTCATCATTTCAAATAAAATTTTATCCTTGGTAGGTTTATTTTAAAAATGTTCATCCTAAATTCCCAGAGGGTGGAAAAATGTCGCAACACCTCGAGAGCTTACAAATTGGAGATACCGTAGATTTTCGAGGACCCACGGGCAGACTCGTTTATAATGGACGAGGTCAATTTTTTATAAAATTACTGAGGAAAGAGCCTCCTGTTAACTATTCCGTAAATAAGGTGAGTAGGCGTAATGACGAATCGAGATTTAAAAGTTTAGGCTCTTTGTAGTATATAGGCGCTTAGTGTCCTGTATATCCTTTTATTATTTTAGCTAGTAATGATTGCCGGGGGCACAGGAATTACACCAATGTTACAACTTATTCGAGCTATAACTAAAGATTCGGAGGACAAAACAAAAATATCCCTACTTTTTGCAAATCAAACTGAAAAAGACATTTTACTGCGCGATGAGTTGGAGGAGATTTTAAAAAAACACTCCGACCAACTAAAAATTTGGTATACGATCGATACGAGTAGCGAAGGTTGGAAGTTTAGCACTGGCTTTATCAACGCTAATATGATCTCTGACCATATGTATCCTCCTTCGTCCGACACATTAGTGCTTATGTGCGGACCACCGCCGATGATAAATTATGCCTGCTTACCAAATTTGGACAAATTAGGATATGATCCTAAACTTCGCTTTGCCTATTAGGATTTTTTTATTTATGTATAAATTTTTTTAATTTTTAAACTAATATAAAAATATATTAAAATCTATGTAATGTTTGTTAGTCATTGTTGTATTGTCATACTTTGAATGTGTCGTGACCAAACATATTATAATGAATAATGTACAAATAATGATGCATCTGTTTTATTGTATCATAATTATAAACAATATATTTATTAAAGTGTTTAAGGTTTTTGATATAAATGAAGGTTTCAAAATTGTTATTACAGACAAGTTTTTTAGCTTATAAAAAATGCAAATTTTATTTATTTTGTAAACTATTTTGATAATGTTTACAATTGTAAAAATTATTTATGCTCAGTATTATTTAAAAATACATAGTGCTAATAAATTGGAGTACATTTTTTTTTATTATTATTAATAAGAAATGAAAATCGAAGCTGCAGTTATCTTAACTTATTATTAATTTTAATTTTCAGCATGACATCATATACTATTTATCAGGTATATAAAATGATAAAATTATAGTTAAATGCTCATGTATTATCGATCATTTTTCTTGCAATAAGTATAAACGTAACACGAAGCAAGGAGAGTTAAATGAAAACATTAGAGAAATTATATTTAACAACGACCATAATCTGGAACTCGCTTTCTTGGTACGGCCTTTAAAATGTCATCAACTCGAAGAATCATTTCCGCGGCCTCTGCTGCACTAAGAAGTACTTGCCTCTTTACAACCCACGATTCTGTAATACCAAGCTTCGACATACAACCAATCTCTCCTTTCTCCATATCTGTAAACAAAATTAATCTCACATTTACGAAAAATCTATCATCTCATTCAACGGCTCATTACCTATTAAATTTTTTATAATTTCTTATTTTAAAGAAATTGTTTGCAGTATTAATTAATTTAATTAGGAAAACTTATAATTCAGATAAAAGAAAAATTTGCTTTAAATATTTCCTTCTGACTACTTGTAACAGAATCATACATTGCTTCTGCAAAATGTGAAATAACTGTACTTACTTTTTAAAAACATTATTTAATGTTATTTAAATAATATAGCCAATTATTTACAATTATAAGAAGGCAAGGACAAGTTACAATCATTTTTGGTCTAATAATTATTTTAGTTTGCTTTTATACTTAATTATAACAATGACAAAGAAAATTAAAAATTCATTTATATCACATATTTGCTTGACTTATAGTAACAGAAATGTGTTGTTATAAAATTTTTTACTACAATATATACAACGTGTCGCGTAGAAATTTTTAAAAAATAGTTCTGCTAAATGAATCAAATTCGTTTATTCCAATCTAATTGAAAAATATTATGTCTATGTAATATGTAAACATAATATATAAACAAAGGTTGCATTTATGAATATTTAATTAAAAAAGATTTAGATTTAAGCAAAATACGTTGAACGTACCGTTAAATTAAATACTTCGAATTTTGTAAGCAATTTACAATATGAAAGAAGTGTTAATTAAAATTAAAATTAAAATTATGTAAAATTAAGCAAATTCGCTCATCATATTTTTACATCGAACATAATAATAAAATGTTTCAAAAAATACAAGCTTTAAAATTATTTTGCAAACTACATTTGCATTTGTGCAGAGCGCTTAATGGATTTAAAAGTATTCATTTTGTAAATGAAAGGTAAAATACAAACCTAAGCCCATGGTGTGATTACCGGAGTTGTGAGCGGCTCTCAATTCATTGATCAACTGAGCTGAATCATAACCAGCATTATCAGCAATAACAGTCGGCAGCTGCTGTAGAGCTCGAGCAAACGACTCCATAGCCACTGCTTCTTTGCCTGGAGTGGCGGCAGCCGCCTTCATGACGGCACATGACATTACCATTTCACTGCAACCACCACCGCATACTACGAGCGACTCCCGCACTGTGGACGTTAACACACACAAAGCGTCATGCAATGATCTTTCAGCTTCGTCCAAGATCTGTTGTGTGGCTCCTCTTATAACGATGGTGCAAGCTTCTCCCAGAGCTACACCGGAGAAACGAAGAATTTTATCTTCGCCAATCATTATCTAAAAGCCATAACGTTTTCATTCAAATTTTCTCACTGCCATTGAATTATCTCATTAATTAACATATTACGAGGGGGGGGGGAGGAGGTGCATTTGTATAATTATCATTTTAGAAACCAACCTGCTGAATCAAATCACACTTTCCAAGTTTCACCATTTCAGGATTATCAAAAGTGCTTACGATTTCTCCTCCAGTTACAAGGGCTAATCTCTCGATACCATTAAAATCTGCATGTTCAATCGCCATAATACCAGCATCGGCAAATAGTTGTTCGGGATAGTTATAAATCAGTTGTCTGTTTATGAATACATTACAATCATGTTTAATAATTTTATCTACTTTATCCTAAAAAAAAAACAAATAATAAGAGCTTGATTTTAATACAATTGAATTAAAATATTTTATTTACATACTATATCGAAAGAAAATTTTTACCTTCATTTTCTCTTTCTCTGCTAATTCTAATTCGGCAATCTTTGCCATTGAATCAACACGAACTCTCGAGCCAAATATCTATTCCACAAAAACATTATTTTATTATTCTATTAACACAATGGTGTATTTATCGTAATATGAAATCATTGCTCTATTTATTGAGACACTCTGTGTTATTAAAGAGAAATAAATCAAACCTTTATTTTATCAGTATCCATAGGAGTATTAGCAATAAGAATTTTTGCATTAGCTATTTTTTCAGGTTGATGCATCCCTGGTTTTTTATCGAGAAGAAATCCTTCGTCCAAGAACGACTGCGCTAATGTTGCCCCTCTTTTTTTAATAACTTGAATGGCCGATAAATTACCGGATCCCTTTAAACGCAAAACTGCATCTACAGCTAATTTGCTGAAATGCTCTTTGTGTTGCGATAAAATTTTCGAACTTAACGTGGTACGGGCAATATTTAACAGATCTTGGTTGAAATTCTCTTGATTTGCAGAATTATCGATGGCTACGTTTTTTAAAGCTTTTCTTGCCACTGCAGTTGCATTTCTCCATCCAGCGATAATAGTTTGTGGATGAATTTTTTGATCGATTAGTTTTTCCGCTTCTTTCAACAGTTCGCAAGCTATGGATATCAATAATAAATGCTTAGGGTGAATTATTATAAAAAAAATGGACGTTTATATATTTATACATCGATCGGTATGGAGACCATATATATATATATATATATATATAATCGTTTCCTTTTTTTTCTTAGATACTATCTATCTTTCAATATTTAGATTATTGTAAATATTATATTTGTGAAAATAATTTATAAATCATTACTAAGCATGCTTCATTAATATTTAATAAATAAATAAATATTAAAGCTGTAGATAAGTATGAAATTACCTAGAACCGTGACGGAAGTGGTGCCGTCTCCAACTTCGTCATCTTGAACACGGGACATATCAACCAAAATTTTGGCTGCCGGGTTGTCCACACCGACGCTTTTGAGAATCGTAGCACCATCGTTTGTAACTTGATCCGTGCCAGTTCCAGAAGGTACAAGAATTTTATCCATTCCATTCGGCCCTAAAGTTGATTTAACAAGTTCTCCAATAGCTATTGCACCAATAAAAATGCTCATTCTAGCTGTTTCTCCCTTTTCTTCTTCAGCTTCATTTTTCAAAATTCGTACTGAATTTAACGACACCTACATAAAAAATGTTAACATTTGAATTTGAACTTATTTATGATTTTGACGCAATTGGGCAAATATAATTTTAACCAACAAATAATAAAGAGATACCATTTGACTGTATTAATGAATAAGCGATTTGTTATATCTCAATTTAATACGTATTTACAAGCAATTACACTTTTAACAAATACTTGAATATTGCAATATAAAAGTCCTTTGATAAAAACGGGGCACGTGCGCCATTTATTGTCTAAAAGAACCGGTGCAGCAATTTAACATTTTTTTTTCAACAAAGTTAACGCTTTTACTTGAGAATTATAACATCTCTAACTAGCAAATTGATTTTACAAAACTTACCATTTTGTTTGTTTATTAAATTATTATCTTTATTTTTGTAAAATCGTCTGATAATTAGCTTTTCTTTTTAACTATTCGATTCTCAATATCAAGATGAAACATGGACAATGTCGACTAGCACATACTACAATGTAATGTAGAGGAAGATTTTTGTCTTTCGATAAAATAATCCTCGATTTCTTGTCCTGTCCAGACACGAATGATTATTTTCAATTATCATTCCTCCATTTCTTTCCTCAATAATATACATTGAAATGAGTCAAATATGTTGCTTTAACAACGTAGCGACAGTTATACGATTATTGAAGCAGCATTTAAATAATAAATTTAAAAATTAATTTAAATATAAAATTTTAAACTGGCAGACAGAAAATCGAAGTTCGTTCGATTTATCGATATGCGAATGATTAATAGATGGCGCTACGTTAGCCAACACGTGACTCGGCTGCATACATTAGCACGAGATTTAATTCCTTATAAGGTGTTAACGCACTTTTACATAATTTTTATAAGTAGAATTTTCTCATCGTCCGCTTCCTACCAAAATTTCGAAAATTATTGATTTAATAATCATGTAATAATATATCTGACATTAGATGGGGTTTTGAAATAATGATGAAAGGAATAAATAGCTTTGTTGCCGTTTGTTGCTGTTGTTGTTACTGTTATTGTTATTGTTTTTTTTTTTCTCCTTTTTTTTTTTCTAAACAATTTAATGCACAGAAATTTTGCAGCAGAGTATTTAACATATAATAGTTAACAAGGGGTATAATATTTATATTTCAAATAAAACGTATCCAACGTAATGTCATTATCGATATTTGTTTATTATTAAAATGTACGTGGAAATTGTTTGATTTATATAATTATTGAAATCTCTTATTGAATTATTGAAATGTTATTAATTTTCTCTGTACTTGTTATGCAATAGTGCGGTTAAACATGTAAAAGTACCTCTAACGCAAAATATTAATTTTTACACAGTTTTTATAATTATGCTGTTAATTAATGCTGATTTCATTGTGAAATACCCCGTTGCACAGTTGTCTGCAAATATTAATGATCTTAATAAACTAAATTTGCAGGACAAAATGTTGATTGCGTATGATTAGTAGAAGTTTTCGACAATTTTAGCAATAGAAATGTAGGAAACACTAATGTTAACTTATCGATGCGTTTCCTATTTACATAAATCGAGTATTTTTTCTCTAGGGCTAAATTTTTAAGCAATCATAACAAAAGAAATGAGCCGCGCAAAAGTCTCGCTGTGAATAATCAAGTTGACTTAGCGAAGATGTTGCTCATTTTTCATTACCAACTCGACTATTAGATAGGTATTTTTATTTTATTGCCGCTGTTACTTTAGTTTCTCCGAGTATGTGGGCGTCAACTGGGTAAATAATCTTTAATTAGGATGGTAGCTTTATATCTCGAGACACGATGTCGTTACAAAGATCAAAAAGGAGAATTGCCATAAAAGTTGCATTAACGATATTCAAATTCACGATCTTACCATTTAATAGCTAATCGACGCTATATTCTTCAAGTTCTATTGTAAAAGTGAACGCTCGTTTCTCTCATTTAGCATTTAGTCCTTTTTTATTCTACTTCTTTATCTTTTAAAGTATCGCAAATGGCCTTTAAAGTGTTGTTTATTATAACGAAAATGCCCAGAGTCTTGGTAAGATTTTTAATTGGCCGTATGGGGTTGGGGAGAAAGGGAACGAGCGCCCGGATTATCATTAATGCGCATTTCCCCAAGGCTGCTCGATATGCACGCGTTCGTTGGAAAAGTCCCTTCGGTACGTTAAAATAAAAAGCCGGTGCACCTTGAATGGCAGACGACGTGACCCATGACACTCGATGTACGGTGAAATCGGAAATCCCAATGGGTCATTTGCGTTCGTGGAAGGTGCATGCGTCTATCGAGGAAACTCGACGAGCGTCGTAAGCGCACAGCGGGACACCAAGAGTCATACGTTACGGGAGAGGAGCGGGGCAATAATATGAGGGGCAGGGGCCCGAGGGACGGGCACCGAGAGCGGGAGAGGCGTTAAGGCGTCGTAGGACTAAGCCAAACCCGGGGCCATCCCGGACCCCGTCTCGACGCAGCTCTCGCCACGAGACGCTTAGTCGCAATCGATACGAACGCCGCTGCTCTGTCTCTCTCCCTTTGGGCGTAACGGCTCTACGCAGCTGTCCCCCATTCTCGCGAAGAAGAGCCGACGATGGGGGTTGCAAGTTGCAGCGAGGCCCAGGCGCGCTTGCCCCCACCACTGGAACGACCACGACCACTCGAGAGCGCGCGATTAGGGCGAGCGCGTGGCGACGTCTCGGGGAAAGGACTTTCGCCCCGGGGCCACTACCCCCACAACGATGCCCTTCTTTTATCGCCTTTTGCCTCCCCCCCCCCCCCCCCCCCCCCCCCCCCCCCCCGCCGCCAATGTTATAAATAAAGGTTTTCGCCGCCCCACCCGGCCCCTCGCCACCCCACTCCAATCACCGATCAAATTTTCCTGCGCAGCCAGCTCAACGGGTAACGGAGCGACAACAGCGTCCGATCTTTATTTTTAGATCGGCGTGTCTTTCGATTGCTTTTGCTTTTCGGCGACAAAGAGGCCGTGAGAGTACGATGTTGTCTTTCAGGGACCGAGGAGGATGAGGAGGAGGTGGTGGTGGAGAGAGGGAAAAGAACACTCGAGAGATAGTGTCGAGACGGATAGATTTAGCACCTTCTGCGCTCTTTTCGAGCATCTTTTTGGAAAAAAGCACTCAAGCTCGAGTGGGTCGAATATTCACGAGACGCGTGCTCGCAGTCGAGTCGGTTTGATAATTTTCCTTTTTTCTTTCCTTTATCCGAGCCAATTATCATCGTTCGCGTCATATTCTTAGTGTCATTCGTACGTTTGAACACTTCACCAAGTTAATACGTTAGAGCATTACCGCATTACTGATACCGAGAAGTAAAAATTTGCCGTTCTAAACAAATGGCTAAATAAAGTTTGAACATTTTCAAATAAGATTTTTAAAATTAGATTGCTAGGATGTTTGGAAATGCATAAAATATTCTTATTATACGAGGACTTTGAAAGGTGTGCGTTTGTTCATTAATTAAATAAGCCATGAAAAAGACATTATTATTCGACGAAAGACTCGGACGGTTATAACGAAGTATTAATTTTGTTTTTGTTTTTCTTTTTGTATTTTGTTTTTGCTTTGTTTTGTTTTGCTTTGTTTTGTTTGATATATTGCCACATTTAACTATGCCAACGCCCTTATATGATGATTGCATACGGGCTATTTAAATTTTCGACTTTGCAGTTGCACAGGACTTTATTATACCCGTACTTTCCAGTCGTAATAAATGGAAAATAAATAGATCTGCATTAAAGAGCGTAAAATAATTGCAAGTTTATACGAAAATAAGGGAAAAGTTTATACGAAAATAAATTCAAAAATGAAGACTTGAAATAAAGAATAATAGCGATGGCTAGGAAGTAGTAGGCGGAGGTGAGAGTTTTCATACGAAATACCCTATGCTTTGCGTAATTAATTATTAGCATCGAAACATCAAAAGCGTAAAATCATTATTTTCACGAAGCATTCCAGTTGAAATATATTCCGCCTTAATGATTACAATTAGTAGTGATTTTTATCACAGCTTAATGTCCCGATGTATTTTAGTATCTTCCAATGCACCCTTTCCCATTAAAGCCGACAGACACGTCTGTTCTCGCTGTTCTGTTCTCTCTCTCTCTCTCTCTCTCTCTCTCGCCGACATTTGTCAAACGCGAAAGAGATAGAGAGAGAGAGAGAGAGAGAGAGAGAGACGAGAGAGAGAGACGAGAGAGAAAACATCTTAGTAGTTAACATATTTCGAGCCTTTCCCGTAATGACAATTAGCTCGATCGAGTGTCTAACGCTCTTTATGCGAGAATACGCAGCTACGGAAATATTTCTTTCAAAACGAGCGGCTGTAATTTTGAAAATGCATTCGTAATCCGTGGGCGGCTTTTACAATGGCGCGCTCTTATCGGGAGTAAAAAATCTAGGGAACACAAAGCCGAGCGGTGGAAACGGCTTCGGATTAGAAGCGAAAGACCAAAGGCACTGATTCATCGGGGGCCTTAAAAATGGGACTTCCCCCTTTCCCCCTCGCCCGGGCATGCGCCTGATTTTCCTTTTTGCCAGGGCAATGAAAGTCGCACACGTGCGCGATACTCTCATTGCTTGGGAATGCGAAATTGTCCGCGGGAAGGAAAGTGGAAAAACTTAATCAGCCATGCCGCTGCTGCCTACCACCAGTTGACGAATTCACTTGGCATCCGCGAGTGAAATAATCGCATTTTCACTGTCAATTATGTGCCGCTGTGCTTATGCAAGCGGGTACGTTCACCCATGATGACTCGCTGTCTTCATTGGGTTTATTGGATGGACGGTGTTTGCGTGCGTGGAATGAAATGCTCGTCCGCGATACCGCGCATTTCAAAAGGATTACAGGCCCATTAGGACAATGAGGAATAACGATTGGCTCGATCGCACCTGACATTCAAATGCTCGACCGACTAATGCTTTTCTAGCGGAGTCACTTGTTGCAATGATATCTACAGCCCATCTTCTTGGAAGTTAATGTAATGTTTTATGTGGTGTGGCCCTGAGGTTTGACCGAAATGAAATATGGATTGGAGTTTATTAAGATGGGTTTGCTAAGAAAGGCCAAGGAAGTAAGACGCATTAATACGAGCAGGCGATAAATTCATACGAGATTATCTAATCCGTAATTTAATCCGTAATTTAATGGACGAGCAAAGTGTTTTTAAGAAATTGCATATGACAGTACGTAACGTGTGCTCGGCTGCTCGTTGAATGTCGGAATGTGCCATAGAATTTTTCCGCGATGAAAAATACCGATGATTTTCCATAAGGGATATAACGTATTATTAGGCTCGTTCGGAGTCTTATTCGCACTACTTTCAACACAAAGAAAAGCACATTTATTCCCCGCGTCCTTTAAAATTAATAGAAACACACGATTATGGCTGAAATCAAAGTACTAACCCCATTGCCAATGAGACGGAACTCCAGGCGATTTTGCAATTTTATGTCGGTAATGATGTACGACGGTTGCCTTCGGAGCTAATTTGTCGACATATAGAGGCGAACAAGAGATCATCGAGCCTATCGATATGCGTAGAGAAAATATTTTTATCATAAAATTATTTCCAATGTAGAATTTAAGTCAGTCGTTGATCTATAATGATAAACGTGCGTAAGATTCTTTTGAAAGTTTACAACTTTATAATACGCCTCGGTGTGAGGGGGGTCGGAGGCCGGGGGCGGCGGCGAGCGCGAGAGGGTTGGGTAACGGGGAGGGAGCACGAGTAGAAGAGAATCGTAAATGAAAATAGAGATGATGGGTGCAACGGAGCTTGGAACGGGGCACGACAGGCCCCGTAGTGGTGTGGGGCTTAAAGGAGACGACGGGCTATGTAGGCGCATCGGAAATTCACGAGGCCCGAGTGTCATTTCCGCGACGTGTAAGAGGGAGTCGTGAGGAGGGGCGTCTAAGAGGCTAAGAAAGTACGGCTGAGTCAAGCGTAGCTGTCTGCCCCCCCCCCCCCCCCCCCCCCCCCC